ATTTTTCGGTCATATTGACGGCCTCGGTGGTCTAGCGGTTTAGCATACCATACTTCCGAAGGTCGCTGGTTCGATTAATCTCACAAACATACATGAGTATTATTTGTTTCAGTCTGAGTGTTCCATATATGTTATGTATGTATTCACAATAAAAATATATAAGTACTTATATCAGTTATATAAATACATAGATATATCTTGGCAAAACGCATAAAACAAGCTCTGCTTAGCTTGGGACTAGATGACATGGAATCATCTACTCCCAATAAATAAATTCAAAAATCATTTATTCATGTAGGACATTTTAGCCGCTTATGAACATCAAGTTTTTACATTATATATTTTTTTTCCCTATCTAGAATTTTTTTCTTCCCTAAATAGAAATAATCTTTATTCAAATAAACTCATTACAAGCACTTTTGAATAGTCATATTGATTCTACCACTCATTCGGAACGATTCATCACAAGAAGAATGAACAAGAAACTTGTGTGTTACTCTTTTGAATAGATGTTTTTTTTTATATAAATAACTAGCTACTAGCCTACTCGGGTGTACATGTATTATATATATAAACCTTCATCTTGAATCACTCTATCTATTAAAAAAAACCGCTTCAAAATCCGTTGTGTAGTTTTAAAGATTTAAGCATACATAGGGACGGACAGACAGCGACAGCGACTTTATTTTACACTATGTAATAATCACAGTATAACAAGTAAGAGGCAAGCGATAATCAACATAGAAATCGCTACGCACTCATTACTAGTGTAACCAGATAATATTTTCAGCGCCAAGTCGTGAATTGTCCAGGCCTATTATTGTTATAAGCCCTCATAATTATGCTGAACTCATTCTACGTTTCACGCATTTTAATACAGGAAATTGTGTTTGTATTTTTAGTACATTAATTTTGCTCGCTTCCTGCTTTTTTCATGTAATGAAGTCTAGCGCGATTAAAGCGGTTTTCCTTTGTTTTCAGAATAAACACAGCCCGTCATCCTGTTGTGTCAGATACTGGGTTTTACAACCGAATCTATTCTTGTTTGGACCGTCAACCGAAATTCCTCAAATTCTAAATTCAAATTCAGAAATAATTTATATTTGAAAATAACAAAAAGGTTTTTTTTTAAATTCCTCAAATTCTAAATTCAAATTCAGAAATAATTTACATTTGAAAATAACAAAAAGGTTTTTCTTTTTAAATTATTCAAATTCTAAATTCAAATTCAGAAATAATTTATATTTGGAAATAACAAAAAGGTTTTTTTTTAAATTCCTCAAATTCTAAATCGAAATTCAGAAATAATTTATATTTGAAAATAACAAAAAGTTTTTTTTAAAAATTCCTCAAATTCTAAATTCAAATTCAGATATAATTTATATTTGGAAATAACAAAAAGGCTTTTTTTTTAATAATTCCTCAAATTCTAAATTCAAATTCAGATATAATTTATATTTGAAAATAACAAAAAGGTTTTGTTTTAAATTTCCTCAAATTCTAAATTCAAATTCAGAAATAATTTTTATTTGAAAATAACAAAAAGGTTTTGTTTTAAATTTCCTCAAATTCTAAATTCAAATTCAGATATAATTTATATTGGGAAATAACAAAAAGGTTTTTTTTTAAATACCTCAAATTCTAAATTCAAATTCAGAAATAATTTATATTTGGAAATAACAAAAAGGTTTTTTTTTTAAATTCCTCAAATTCTAAATTCAAATTCAGATATAATTGATATTTGGAAATAACAAAAAGGTTTTGTTTTAAATTTCCTCAAATTTTAAATTCAAATTCAGATATAATTTATATTTGGAAATAACAAAAAGGTTTTTTTTAAGCCGGGATGTGAAATTCCAGGTCTTTTACATAGTTTTATTGGACACACAACTATATTTTTTGTTACACTAAAACCTAGAAGAGTAGTTTTCTAAGGGATATCTACTTCATGTTGGTGTTTACATTTTACCATTCTTAACCTACTTCTATTACATACATACATACATTTCTATGCTGAGTGTCAGCCATGTTGCCAACCATATGTAGAAATAATATAAGATGAATTATTGTAATTGTTCTAAGTGTGTATGTATGTATGTATATATGTATATGAGTGTGTGTGTGCATATGTGTATATACATACGTATATATATATATAAATATAGTATATATGTGTAAAGTGTACAATTGTCAAATGTGTATATGTAATAATGGTTGACAATAAATGTTTTTCTTTCTTTCTTTACATTTTTTATACTACTGCTATTATACTTATTACTATTTATTTCTAATGCTTATCTAATGGCTGTATATCCACAGAAGACCGAAGAGATGGCTCCTAGGACAAAGAATTAGTCTAGCTATTCAAAGAGGAAACGCTGCCAGTATCTTCGGAACTTTGCCTAAAGAGACTCCTTTTGATATACATTTTAGTTATTATATTACATTTTTAATTTTAGATCCTTAGTTGTACAATTAAGATATATAAATAAATGTTCGTTCGTATATTAAAGAAACAATTATTTATTCATGTAGGACATTTTAGCCGCTTATGAACGTCAAGTTTTTACATTAGAATTTTTTTCCCTACCGTCCAGTTCGGTATATAGATCCAATTGAGAAGAACTGGCAAGTAACTCAATTGAATAACTTTTTTTTAAAGCCAGTTTATTTACAATGTATATTTATATAGGTGTCTATGTCTAACATTAAATGAAAATCCCGTGCATGAACAACTATTGCCATACATGCTCGTCATTAAAGTAATCGTTTAGAGAGTAATTAAAAAAAAAAATTCAAAATTCAAAATATCTTTATTCATGTAGGTGTATTACAGACTCTTATGATATGTCAAATCTATCGTCAGTTCGGAATGTTATCGAGATGAGAAGAACTGACAAGAAACTCAGCTCGTATTTTCTTCAAATAATAGTGGAACATGTTTATGATAAATACAGTTATTAAAATTCTAATTTGGGAGAATAGAATGACCTCCAGCATATGCTATCGCAAAGAACAATTTAATCAGTGTTCACAACCTGAACAGACCAGTCCCCACAAGCAGCACCCGTTCACGAGTATGACGTATGAGCCAGCCATCATTGTACTCAACCATATTTGAGGGAGCACTTCGACCCGGCCCACCACGCCGCCACAAGTTTGAACTTTATAGCGAGCATGACTGTTTCAGGTTACTCCACTACGTCAATTATATTATTTACAGCATAGGCTGTACCGATCACAGTTTTCACCCATTACAATATTAAATTTACATTATTTAATTTGCATAATAGGCTTTGCTCAGTAAAAAGTAAAGCGTGTAATTATAATTCGTATTACAAAATGTAAGAGCAATTTATCATTTTTAATTATATTGTAATGTAATTAATAAAATGCTTCATAATGGTCACATGGACTTTGATCTGTATAACAAAACATTTGTGCCCCTTTTTATGATAATTGCTCGAACGTAGGTGTATGAAATTTCGCAAACTTATCTATACATATAAATAAAATTGGAGTGTCTGTTTCTATATTGAAATAACCGTAATTACTACATGCATATGAATATAAATACGGTGCATGCACCAAACATTTTTTACAATTTTTTTCTGTCTATCTGCTAGTTCCGGCTCATCTCTGAAATGGCCGGACCGATTTTGACGGGACTTTTTTGGCAGGTAGCTCATGTCATAAGGAGTAACTTAGGCTACTATTATTTTAGAAAAATAAAGTTAAATTCCACGGGAACGATGTCGCGGGTACAGTCAGTAGTTTCTATATATACTAGAGTGGAAAGAGAAGGAGTGCAGAATACTAACTTTTTTTTTAAATATCCGTCTTCTTCTGTCTGGCCTTAGTTCCATTTATTTGGGGTCGACTCCTCTGGTCAATGTATGGTAGAACGATAGGCAGGTAATAGTTTTTAAATTATGTCTCGTACCTGTATGGTTCTGCGGATTTCTTGGGCTTCAGGGTCTCGAAGATATCTTCGCTAGCTTTCCAGTTTCACAGTAGGTTTAACACAGTTCTAATTTATTTCAATTCACAACAAATGCGCGCGCGTCATGGCCGCTGTACGGTCAGTTCAGTACTTTCCCTAACATTTTGGTAGCAGAGCGTAGTTTCCCTAACAGTAATATTGTTTATCTTTCATTAAAGGTGTGTCGAGTTTGAGATTATCATCATCATCGCAGCCCGGAAGACGTCCACTGCTGGACATAGGCCTCCCCAAAGATCTCCACGACGATCGGTCCTGCGCTGCTCGCATCCAATGCCTTCCAGCGATCTTGATCAGATCGTCGGTCCATCTTGTTGGAGGCCTTTCCACGCTGCGTCTTCCGGTCCGAGTTAGTTAGGTAGTTAAATTATAGAAAACAGAAGCATAAAATATTTCATATTTATATAAAATTTAGGTAATAATATATACCCGAACATTTTTTTTCTATAAATATTATACATACATAATATACAGAGAAAATACCCAGACTGACACAAACAACTATACTCATGAATAGTAATTTTAACCGTGTGAGGAATCGAACCCGCGACTAAAGAAGTAAGGCGGTGTACTAAACCACCAGACCATCGAGGCCTTATGTGAAACAGACGAAGTCGAATTTCTGCAGTGTACTTAAAGTACCGTAATTGCACTCAGGCGAAGTCAGGCGTATAGATAGTTTATAATAATATTATGTGGATGCCATACACAAGACTGTTTTGGTTTACTTGGAGCAGTGGTTCTAAAACTTTCAGCGATGCGTTATTTTTTGTTTTTTTTTTTTGGTGTACCGTATTAATATTCATATGCATGTAATAAAAAACGGTTATTTCAATATTACAAACAGACACTCCATTTTATTTATATGTAATAAATGGCATAACAGAAAACAAATTTTCACAAATGGCCCCCATTTGTGTTTTGGAGTTGTACCAAATTGGAGTGTCTGTTTCTCGGACTTATTCAGCTGTTTGAAGAATTGACTCTCGGACTATTTCAGCTTTTTGAAGACTTGTCTCTCGGACTATTTCAGCTGTTTGAAGACTTGTCTCTAGGGCTATTTCAGCTGTTCGAAGACTTGTCTCTAGGACTATTTCAGCTGTTCGAAGACTTGTCTCTCGGACTATTTCAGCTGTTTGAAGACTTATATCTAAGACTATTTCAGCAGTTTGAGACTTGTCTTTCGAATGATTTCAGACACGTCGATGGACCACGTGGTCCGTGGGCCACCGAGTCGACGGACCACGTGGTCCGTGGGCCACTGTTTGAGAACCACTGGTTTCCAGGCAGCTTAATGTAATTAATTAGCAGTGTTTCATGTTTCAGTACATTGCAGTGGATATGCGACCAATATAATCAAGGAGGCCATTTATATAATTTGTTTTTAGTACACTACATTTGAAAATAGACCTTAATGCTCTAGTATTTAATTTTCAATTCGTCTGTACATGTGAATCTAGAGAAATAATGAAGAAATATATTCTTATATATACATATATATAAGAATACATTTCTTTTAGAAAAAAAAAATTATATGAATATTTTTTTTTTTAGTATATTTACGATATATATACATATATATATATATCGTAAGTATACTAAAATATCATTGGATGACCCCTGTGGTCTAGCGGTTTAGCACACCGTCTTCCGATGGTTGCGAGTTCGATTCCTTTATCTTAATCTATACATATAAATAAAATTAGAGTGACTGTTTGTAATACTGAAATAACCGTTTTTTACTACATGCATATGAATATAAATACGGTACGTACACCAAAACAACATTTTTTAAAATTTTTGTCTGTCTGTCAGTCTGTTCTGGCTAATCTCTGAAATGGCTGCACCGATTTTGACGGGACTTTTTTGGCCAGATAACTGATGTAATAAGAAGTAACTTAGGCTACTTTTATATTAGAAAAATAAAGTTATATTCCACGCGGACGAAGTCGCTGGTGCAACTAGTGAAGAATATATACATATGTTTGGCCTAAGTATAAAATAACCTCGGTAGTTAGTTACCTAGGTAGCGGTTTAACACATAATATACATAGATAACGTTCAGACAGACAAACATTCAGAACCGAGCAGCCAGAATCATTGGTAATCAACGTCTTTGTGACTCGACCCATTGGCTTTGCGGCGAGATATTGCATCTCTGTGCATTTTCTACCGCATATATCACGGGGAGTGTTCTGAGGAATTGTTCGGATTAATACTGCTGCTGAAACTGCTGAGTGTCACCACCGTACCACCCGCCAAAAACTAAAATACCATCCTGATCATCTGGATGAATGGCGGTCCTACACAGTGCGGTTTTCTAGAAACTTTTTGCCTCGCACAACCATATTGTGGAATCACCTTCCAGCAATGGTATTTTTGATACGATATAGAAACCTTCAAGAAAAGAGCTTATTCCTTCCTAAAAGGCCGACAACGTACTTGCAATTCCCCTGGTGTTGCGAGTGCTCATGGGCGGCGGTAATCACTTACCATTAGATGAGCCGCATGCTCGTTTGTCCCCTGTGTTATAAAAAAAATCATACTCATGAATGTTTGTAAAATGTTTGCACCGTGCAAGGAATCGAACCCGTGTCCACCGTAATTAAGGCATTGTACTAAACCACTAGTCCATCGAGGCCGTCAAGAAATGTAGGTTACATTTATTCTCAATACTGACTGAATATTTTTTCCAACGCTGGCAAGTATTGTACAAGTGGGATGGGCGAGCGACAGTAATTGATGGAAATGGGTGGGACAGACGATCTGTCACTGCTGATGCTGCTGTCTACTGCCATCAGGGTCTTAAGGATAATAGCAACGGTATTCTTGCTACCAATATACGGCATATACAGGGTTGCCAGCCATCCGTCCAGGTTTCCCAGGATTTGTCATAGTTTAGACCGGATCCGGTCCGGGGGCGTCCATTTTTTAGGTCTAATAATTAAAATACATTATAATACTTTATATTAATAAATTGTGTTTTATTTGGAAAACAAAAAAAAAACAAAATTATTAAAACATTTTGTAATAAACTATTTAAGTAATATTATTATAAATTGTTTTAATAATTTTGTTTTTTTTTTGTTCTTCAAATAAAACACAATTCATTAATGTATTTTAATAGATTAGGTAATATAGGTAGATTCTCTTTTGTTAGTCGAGCGATCTACTGTATGAAGAGTCGTGACTCATTAAGAGAGAAATTCAAAGAGGCAAATATTCTCACCGTTGCTTCTCAATTTATATATTCAAATATCCTATATGTTCATAAAAATCTTGACTTATTTCCAAAAAACAGCAATATTCATAATATTAATACTAGATTTAAAGACAAACTTGCTGTCCCCAAGTATCGTTTAGAAAAAGTCAATAGGTCTTTTATGGGAATAGGTATAAAAATTTACAATAAGATACCAAAGGATATGTTGGAATTACCCTTAAATAAATTCAAAACATCTGTTAAATCATATTTACTGAGCAAAGCCTATTACTCACTACACGATTACTTGAATGACGAGTGTGCATGACAATAGTAGTTCATGCACTGAAATTTCATTTAATGTTAGACATAGACACCTATATAAAAATACATTGTAAATAAAATGGCTTTAAAAAAAAAAGTAATTCAATTGAGTTTCTTGCCAGTTCTTCTCAATTGGATCTATATACCGAACTGGACGGTAGGGATAAAATAAAATTATAATGTAAAAATTTGACGTTCATAAGCGGCTAAAATGTCCTACATGAATAAATGATTTTTAAATTTGAATTTAAATTTGAATTTAGGTACATTTTAGGTATAATAGGTAGATTCTGTTTTGTTAGGTACATTTAAAGTTATAACAAAAAATTACTACTTATTTATTTATAAATATTTTTTATTTCAATGACTTTGTTTAAAAAAAGCGTGTTGACATATCTGGGCTCGGGATTCTAAAATCCGAGGTCTTCACGCGTCTTGGCCCTGTTTCCAAATTTTAGAGATGGCAACCCTAGACATACAGAGACAATACTAATACATTATACTATTATTAGTACAGGGTGGCCCAGAAGTCACTTTACATTTTGAAAATGAAATAACTTTTTTTCTATTAATATATTTCTTTTTCTCTTTTCAGAATTAAAAAATATAATCCCTGGAAATTTTTATCATGGATAAGTTTACAACAGAACAACGAGTGAAGATTTCAACAGCATTTGTTGAAAACGCTTCACTAAGTTCCTTATTGCAGGCCTACTAGGGGGATGTCGAACATTAAAATGGCGCATATACGATCTTTGCGTTGCAACAATTAACCATCCATTTTCAAAGTAAAATTCAATTATCTTCACTCGTTGTTCTGTTGTAAACTTATCCATGATAAAAATTTCCAGGGATTATATTTTTTTATTCTGAAAAGAGAAAAAGAAATATATTAATAGAAAAAAAGTTATTTCATTTTCAAAATGTAAAGTGACTTCTGGGCCACCTGTATATTGTAAAAATATCGCACAGCAAGCAAATGGTACTTGAATAAAATAACGTTTCCAACACACTTGCTCGTAATTTTTTTACAATTTTATTGTGAGATATCCTGGGAAACTTGTATAACCAATAATGATGTTCATTGATCAAAAATCATCTTTGGTAACACAAGTTTTTCGTTGTTACCATAGTAACAGTTATACTTGCTGCATAATAAATTACCTACAGTTAGCAATCTCTGTTCAAAATTGTTCACAAACAAACTGGCTGATAAATGTGTTTACTCATTGAAAGATTATTTTGAATACAAAATTAAATAGACTCGGTGGTCTAGTTGTTTAGCACACCATTTTAGTTCTTAGGCTCGCAGGTTCGATTTCTCGTACCTTGCAACAAATGTATTTCTTTATTTGTTGTATCAGTCTAGATGTTTTCTACGTAATATACCTAGAGTATGTTATTATTTACAAAAAAATGTATCTAAATTTTCTATCAGATGTCTGGTACCCATAAGCTCCTAACATTCCTAAGTTAAGTTTAGGAGATGGCGCTGTAACTCATACAGGGTTGTTATTATTATTGTAATACATCGACAGACGACCTCGGTGGTCCAGCGGTCTAGTGCACCGCATTACGACCGATGGTCGCGGGTTCGATTCCTCGCACGGTACAAACATTTGTATTCATGAGTGTGATTGTTTGTATCGGTCTGGGTGTTTTCTATGTATAATATGTATGTATATGCAAAAAAAATATATATGTATATGTATCAATTATCTAGTACCCATAACACAAGCTTTAGCTAGCTTAACTTGGGTCTAGATGGCGCTGTGTGAATTGTCCTGAGATAAATTAAATAAATAAAAATAAAAATACATATATGAAAAAAACTATTACGTATATATAATATAGTTATATATATGGATTTATTTTTAGATTATATTTTGGGGGAACTAAATATAACTCTATACTAGTACAATACATTCAGTTCGCGTTATGGACACCTGTATAAAGTTGTGATATACATATATATTTAGATTATATGTAATATAATAGTACATATATATTATAAAGCTACTAGGCGACCCGCAAACGATATTTTGCTATATAAATTAAAATCGTTTTTAAAAAATAGGGGTTGATGGTAGAAGGGCGAAAATTTGGTATTGTATTTATTTTTAATGCCACATAATAAATAAAAAATTTTGCCCAAAATATAAAAAAATAATGTTAAGTTATTTTTTTATTTTTAGTTAAACCCCTAAATGATAAGGGTTGTCCAACAGTACGAAAAATAGATAGTAGCCCATTCTCAAACCTACTGAATATGCATATAAAATTTCATAAAAATCGGTCAAGCCGTTTCATAGGAGTATGGTAAGTAACATTGTGACACGAGAATTTTATATATAAGATATATTATACAATGATTTAAGATCTCACGCTAAATAAGGATGCGATCAAGTGCTCCAGAACGGTCTCGATTAAATGGAAAAACGGACGTATGGAGGCTCGAATATGCGAAGAAAACAAGTTAAGTAAAGACTTAAAATTGTAGAAGCCACAGGCGGCCATCGGACACCGTTATTTTTCTTTTATACATTCTTCTTCACCACTAAGTGCACTGTAACTTCGTCTGTGAATATATTTATTTATTTTTAGATGATATTTTTGGAGAACTAAATATATGTTAGTATCACAGAACCCAGATCACGTTTCACGTTATGGACATCTTTATAAAGTTGTGATATATGTATAACTAAAAGGTGACTGACATAGTGATCTATCAAAGCACAGCCCAAACCACTGGACGGATCGGGCTGAAATTTGGC